CAACCGTTTCGTTCTCTCTCGTTTCGCGCATGCGTATAGCCGTATACTCTGAGAGAGGGGATCGAAAGAAAGAATAAGGAATTGAAAGAGCAACCCTTGGCACTGGGAAACCTTTAACCTTATCAAAGTCAATTCTTTGTTTGATTACAAAGAGATCAGACTTGTCCGATCATGCTTGGAAAGCCAAAAGTTTCTTTCCGCGAGACTTAACTAAACCATGTGAATTTGACTATCTTTATAAGAGACAATCTGGTGGTGCTGGCCAATATGCTCGCATAACTGGAATTATAGAGGTATAAATGATAGATTTTTATCATTAATATTTATTGATATTATTCATCAAGAGCCCTTAACCTTATCAAACTCAATTCTTTGTTTGATTCCAAAGTGATCAACTGATCAGGCTCAATCAGGCTTGTCCGGTCATGTAATGATGAAACTTTTCTCGTTCGACTCGTTCTTTCTTTCGATCCCCTCTCTCAAAGTATATGGCCCGTATTCAGAACGCACTTTTATTGATAAAAGCGCGCTTTTATCTCTGAAATTCTATAGTATATGTGACGTAAACTATAGCATGTTAGCGCGCTAACATCGTTGTTAGCGCGTTCTGAATACGGGCCCATGGCTATATGCGCTAAACGAGAGAGAACGAAAATGCCCACAGCCCAAATAAGTGCGTCCTTTTCTAGATAGGATTACCCCTACTCCTCCCTGCTTAAAAAAATCGATAGAAACGGATAGAATACGAAAAGGAATATCGCTAATTTTAATGTATCACATACGACTTGATACGACTTTGCGTATAAAAGACCGAAATCTTTCCCTGCTTAAAGAAACGGATAGAATACAAAAAGGAATATCGCTAATTTTAATGTATCATATACGACTTTCAGTATAAAAGACCAAAAACTTATAGTATTGTATATGACTTTTCATTTCCGTGATTCTTCGTCTATAGTTTTCTATAGGGTTCGATATGAACATCATCCGACGTTGTATCGTATTATATATGAATATTCAGCTTTATATACGACATTCATGCTTTATATGAATATATACAGAATTTCACATAGATCACTTATAGTTTCCTACCCGCTTTTTCGGATTCGATCCGCTGTATATGATTCTATCATGTTTCCCATATTGATTTCCGAAAGTTTCGTACGGATATATATGGAAAACCATATATATAGCGAAGCCATTTTTGTCACTAGCCGGTCTATCCGAACGTATGTGGAATACCCATAGAGATAGTAGTACTAGAGTAGAGTCCTGGGTGCGTTCGGAGTCGCGCATGAAGCGCGTGGACTGCAATACTGATGCTCAACACTTTGAAATTGTTCCGTTTTTGAAAAAGGGAGACAACATCCAAAGAAACTAATAAAGAATCAGAATCAATTCTAACATCTTTTAATTTTTTAATTAGATCAACACTATTTTTAATAAAACTTGGAGATTCACCAATGGATTTACTAATAATTCGGTGTAAATATAGAGATAAATTATATAACGGACTGTTAATGGAAGATACTATAATTCTAAGAGGAAAGTCAAGATTTCAGTTGAAGATAATAGATTGATTTTTGATAACTATCGTAAAGCCACATTTTCTGGTAGATACCTTAATTTTCATTCCCAACATCCTTTGTGTCATAAGAGAGGAGTAGTGTATGGGGTTGTTGATAAGATAATTCTTTATTGTCATCCTAGGTTTCAACGGAACAATTTGTGTTTGACGCGATTAATAATTTTTTAAAAAATGGATACCCCTTGGATTTTATTTTTTCGACTGTCAATAATAGACTAAAATTTCATTTAAACAACAAAAATTCTATTAATAATAATGGTGGTCTCAAAAAGTTTTTTACTGTTCCTTTTGTAAAATCAATTTCAGAAAAATTTACACCGATTGCTAATTCTGTCAACTGCAAACTCGCGTATACTATTCCCAATACACTTAAAAGTTATATTAAGAGAGGTAAAAAGATAGACTGGAACATACGCAGAACCGTAATGTTGTATATAAAATTTCGTGTAGTGATTGTGATGCTAGTTATGTTGGGCAGACTAAGGGTTGGATTATACTGGCCGTAATCTGTTAACTTATGCTGTAATCTGTAAAAATTGACCAATTATAATCGATTATTCCCCTCTCATTCGACTGTGATTGGTCAATTTTTACAGATTACGGCATAAGTTAACAGTTTACGGCCAGTATAAATCAACCTTAAGAGGCAATTGAAAACTAGACTTAATGAACACATCTCGGATATTAATAAATCAAAGTCTCCATCGGTTGTTACTAATCATCGAATAGACAATAATCATAATTTTAATTGGAATAATGTGGAAGTATTAGATGTGGAACCTTCCTACAAAAAGAGGTTGATATCCGAGATGGTTTATATTAAAAAACAGACACATGGCATTAATAAACAAAACGACACGGAGTCATTGCCCGATATGTACACAAACATGATACAGTCCTTCTCTACCTCTTAGACTGTTTTCAGTTGGTTTTTGCCTCTTATAACGAATTTATTTCGTCATTACGTTTCTCGACATTAACATAATAAGTAGACAATGCTGTAAATTGGATTATATCTGAATTTTTATAACATTTTATCATTGACGACATTACAATTTTCACATTATGGATTTGTACATTATTGACATTATTTATTACACAATTTTTAATAAGGTAACTATCTTTTAACACTTGTTTAACATGCTATTTAAGATTCTTATGATAAATTATATAAATTTTATTAGATTGAATTTACTTTATTGGATTAACTTTTACAAGATGGACTACGATTTTAATATGCGAACAATATCCTGACATTATGATTAGCGATACAGAAATTTTATAATTTATTTATGTTTGTTACACTGAAGATGACCCGATCGGGTTCGAAACGTTTGTACTAATTTTTAAATATTATATTATACTTAATTTTATAAATTGCTCTAGTGTTTTGTATTTGGCTCATTGCCCTTTTTATTATTCATACCCAGTGAACATGAATGTCTAACAGACAATCCGAAAGATGTCTTAAAAAAGACGACTTTAAGACGTTTACAAAAAGACATCTTTAAGATAACTTTTAGCCAAGTCCTAAAGACAATTCTTTTTAAGACGTCTTTTGGACGTCCTTTCCAGGACGACTTTAAGATTTTACAAAAAGATATCTTAAAGACGACTTTTAGTCAAATCCTATAAAGACATCTTTTTTAAGATATCTTTTGGACATATCTGTTTAAGACATTTTGCAGAACAAGAATAAGATAATATTAGATAATATTAGATAATATTAGATAATATTAGATTTTCATAGTACTGGCAGTGTGTGTGTGTGTATATCGAAACTCTGTCAATATAACCTAATTTAATCCAGAAAAATCGTAATGTCCAAAATTAATCTGAAAAATGTCTGAACAATGACATTGTAGAATGTCTCAAAGACGTCTTATAGATCATTATAAGGAATGTCTGAGAGACATCCATCAAAATGTCTAAAATATGTCTAATATGACGTCTGACAGACGTGTAATAAAACTACTAAAAGACAGACATAAGACGCCTTAAAGACGCCTTAAAGACGACTTTTAGTAAATTTTTCGGACGTCCTACAGAATTTTATGACGTCTTTTAGGCGTCTTAAAGACGACTTATTGTTCACTGGGTATTGTTTTATACTTATTGGGCCTTATTTATATTATTATTAAAGTTAACTACAGTACCATTCATTCGTTATCTGAAAGATCTATATCATCCAAATAATTTAGAGTCTTAGAAAGATCAAGCTCATCATTTTCATCATTTTCATGCGTTCCGTAAAACGCATAATGCGCATAATGAATCGTTTTATCCTTGTTTAATATTTGCTGAACAATAAGAATAAAATGATACATCATGCGCATCATGCGTTTTACGGAATTCAGGCATTAATCCCCTTTTTTCAAATTTCCTCCATTAACGTTATTGGGTGGATTAGTACATTAAATATCTTCATACAGCTAGAAATAACGGTATACTCAAGATATACTTGTAGTAAGATTTTTTTGAAAAAAATGAAAACGAGCAAAATTGAGCAGGTCAAGTTCAAAGTACACATTTTACCAAACAAAATGGTACCTCATTTGTTTCATTTGGATGTGAAGTTTAGGTGTGGAGAGAATCGACAACGCGTACATATGAAAAATATCAATTTACGGTTGAATAAATTGTAACAAATATATTAAACGTACATATTTTCTTAATGGCTATTTTACATATTTTATAATCTTTTAATATATATTAATGAAAGAATACGAAAAAAACTGCACTATTACGAAATTATTCAAAAATTCATTAGTAAATGCATTATACTCTCCATTATTGATTTTATTTGATTTTCTAAGTTTAATATATCGAGTAATGATATTAATCAATGAATACACATGTAAGAATCAGTTTTTAAATACTCTTAAGTGTTTACTAAACGATAAACAGTTTCATTTCTTTAAATTCCGTACTTTGTTTTTGGCCAAGATTTCGGGTCGTCTGTCCCATTGTGCACCGGTGTTGATGACCGAAGGGCCGATAATCGTAAATGTTCAAGGAGGGACGGAATCGCCAAAACCTGGACCGAGCCGAGAAGTCGACGCCAGACCAGCGATTAATGCGATTTGCATAGTAAACTTGGAAGACGAAAGGTGCGTTCGGCAATGTAAATCTGAGATGCAAGCTAGCAGATGGCGAGCTTGATCACGTGATCTTCGAGCAATCCTAGCATAAAGTTTAATGTCGAACGATTCCGAGCAATCCGAGCTGTCATTGCTATTTCTTTAACCTCTCTCTCAAAATAGGTTTATTAACGTTATTTAACGGTAAATATTAATTAGATATATGTATATAAATCTATAAATATATATGTCAATTGTGAACATAAAAAATTGTTATAAAATAAAATTAATTGAATAATTATATACTTATATGTATATATACAAGGGATAAAATGAATAATGCAGAAATTGGCTTTATTTTAAATTTTGCTTGGGATATATTTTTTGATGACACTGATGACGAAGATGAAAATGTCAAAATTCCAAAAGTTCATCAATATGTAAAAGAAATTGTCCCTCGTTTCTCCGATAGAACATTTAAAACACACTTCCGAATAACACCGGATACGTTTGAAGCATTGCTCACAAAACTTCATAGCATTGAAGATAATTATATAAAAATTGGATTGTAACGATGCCCCCCCAAATGCATCGTTCCCGCGTGGTGCCAACGGGAATAGGAGCGAGGCGCCTGCTCGTATGTTGGAGTAATTCGCAGGAACAGCAGCTCCCGTTAGAACCGCCAGTCTCGCCGAA